TCATTCATAAAAGTTGCATCCCCCAGACTATTTTCGAGTTCTCCATCTAACCATTCTTCAGCGATCTTTTTTGCTCTCTTTTTCAAGGACTTTTCGTGCGATTTGTCGACAGGCGTTGATATAACGCCGAAGAAGTCATGATTGCTTGTTGTTGTAACAGATTCTGTACTGTAAATAAACTGATAGCGGAAGATAGCGGAATATAGCGGAAGTTGCTCGCTATCGAACAGCGATAGCGCCGTTTCCGCTATCGCTATTCCGCTATTCACTTGAACTTCCGATATCGCTATTCCGCTATTCGCTATTAGCGGACTAGCGGAATAGCGCGCTATTGCCCAACACTGGTTTTTTGAATGGAGAATACGAAATATAGAGATACATTCAGTCAGTCATTCATCAATGTGCTCGTTCAGAGCACGAATCGACAAGGTATTCCCAGCAAAAACATTGAGGCCTCTGAAATTCTAGATTAGGAAAGATACGAGAAGAATGCTGCTTGAATTGTCCACAGATGATTGCATGTGCAGTGCACCGAGTCACGCAGGGTCCTCGGCGTGATTGATTAAAATGAATATTGTTGACCTCTGCAACAGATTGCTTAAGGGTTCTTATTAAAAAGTAATTTCAGCAGCCTTCTTCGCCAATTGGTTTAACGTTTTCGAGCTTGTGACTGAAACGACTGCAACAATTCTGATCATCTATATATTGTATTTGTTGTCCGTTCGTCTATCACTGAGGAATTCAGCGTTGAATTTATATAATTTCAATATATTCGCGGAAAAATTAACCGTGAGATTCATATTTTTTACGACGTTCGTGCAAAATTACGGAATGTATTACGGATGGGAATCACCCTTTTTGAGGTCAGCACTAATCTTTTCTGAATTTCTTAACAACTTCTTCATACTGCAGTTCATCACCCGCATTTTTTCAAATTCTTGACACACATTCCATTAAAAAGTTCGGAAGTTTGCAATTGACTTTCTCCACTCTCACCTCAACGTCATCAGTACACAGCAGTGTCTCGTATGACTAGAGATGGAATGAATTCCGTCATTATGTCGAGATTCACCTCATGAAATTCATCCCGCCTGAACGTATAATATCAAAAACACTTTTGCAGTTATTATAACAACAAACTTTACAGTTCAGTTCACCTGATTCGGAATTTTCACTGGTTACCACGACGCTTTCTCACAATTCCAACTGGGAAAAACTTTTATCATCGCCTTTTTCCAGGGAAATTATCGCTTCCCTCATCAATGAGTTTACTATGATAATTTGCATACTTTCAGTACGTTTAACCAGTATGGATATGCGTTTACGGTCTCAATTAATTACATTACCTTTCCAGTTCTATCCGTCGTTCTCCTACTGTCCATCTTCTGCGCATGCAGATTTCCAGTGCTACACAGGAAATTCTTCAATTTGAGGTTGGCGTGAGGACATGTTTGATTTAAAGACGAATTATTTTGTTGGGGAGAAGGCTTTGAACTGCCGAATATCCATTTTCGGTAGCTCTCTGCGTTTCCGGCAACCATGAATCACTGAAGCTCTGCAGTGAAGAATACATGAAAATATGCATCCAGATCGAGATATCAAAAACTGATATGGCAATAAATAACTGCTCTCCAAGTATGCTGAACTGCTGTTCGTGTAGTCTGTCATGGTTATGCAATTTTCTCCGACGTAGGAAACTGAATGATATTCTTGACAGTGCCTATAAAACACATTGCCCACTGTTACTATTGGGATCAATACACTCGCATGAAGTTTAAGGTGTTGGAAAATATACCTGGTCGCTTTCGATACATTGTGTTTCTCGTTTGCAATATTCTACGCAGTAATGGATGAACGTTATTCGAATAATATCATATCATTTGTGCTGCTGACAATATACATTCTGAATCCGCTATTCACATGCGCGGTGACAATAGCGGTAATAATTACATCTTCAGAAGAGGATAAACCACAGAAGCCGCTAGAATTTCGCTCAAAAATATCCCGTTGACGAACGTGAACTCGAATGGAATATTAAAAAGTATTCTTGCTCAGAGAATTGCTGGAATGAACAGTAGTTCACCGGAATCGAGACGTTTCACCGCTGCCGTTTTGGCGCTAGGATGTGTTGCCGCTTAGTCTTTGCATCAGCCAATTTTGGCGTATTTCCTTCCTGATTCCTGCTTGGAGATCACGTGTAGCTTTCTTGAAATGGTCACCCTTCAGCAGAGATGGGCAACAACATGCTATTCTGCTACTGTATTCTAATTTGGATTGATTGAAAACAGTTCCTAAGAGAGTCTGTGATTCAATTGACCAAACAACCTCGTATGCCGTATGCTTATAATTTTGAGTTTCATTTCGGTATGTAGTGTCGATGTAGCCTCTGTAGTTTAAATGACGGATACAATCTGCTAGGATCAAAATGAAACCACAGTGATTGATCTCCTTAGAAAAGCACATTGGAAACGGGAAAACAGCTCGTTCATTGTAAAATGGTTTGTCAGTTGGGCTGCAGTTATTTTTTTCAAAGCCTCAGAATTTGAGCAGGTTAATAAGATGGGATGGTAGTTTGGTGGATTCATTTCACCATCTTATCGGCGCATAGGTGTAATGATCGTTGATTTTCATCTCACGGACCGAGTTAGGCGATACGATAAGATCCAAACGATTCATAATTTCGGACAAAATGCTCAGCATTTTGATGTTCTTAAATGATGATGAAAAAGCGTGATGCCAGCTGTTAATAAGTGACTGCTTTTCTCTTTGAATGTTGCTGTCGTAATCTGGTTATTCTCTCATTCTCGGAGCTTGTTTGATTATTGACTGGCGCTTATTGTTGGAATGATTATCTTTTCAATGATTTAATAGAAAATTTGAACTGTTTAATGTCGCGATGAGAATTTTCCCATACAAATAAGTGGTGCAATTGCAAATTTTGAGAGAAAATTTCAAACTAGCTATAGCAATAGCAGTAGCGATAGCGGACTGATTTTGCTTAATTAGCGGATCAGCGATGGCGCTTCGCTAATTTTTTGGCGATGATATTCTATCATCGCCAAAAAATTAACGTTTACTGTTTTTAGAATAGCGGATCAACGAATATCGCGCTATCGTTTTCATTTAGCGTGCCCATCTCTGCCCTACAGATCAATCTAAATTGATTGCTATATATTCTTCGATGGAAACAACCATTCACAGCTGTTCTTCGTCGGGTGAAAACGACGTCAAACAAGATGAGATGTGGTGACATATGTTTCAATAGGCATACGATG